TTAAGGGAAAGCCTTAAAATGGCAGGCTAAGCAGTTTGTATTTCATCCTAAAAGTAAAAGGGAACAACTGAAGTATTTTGGGCTAGTGAGTGCCATAGTCAGACTTGCACCTTAGGAAAGTCAACTTGGCAGCTGTATAGAGGGTGAATTAGCTAGGATTAGGGAAATCCAGCAGACTATTTCAGTAGTCCATGCAAGAGGCAATGAGGGTCCAATTGAGGCCCTCATCCAACGAGAAGATGGTTATGATAGATACTGTGAAAGTAGAATTAAGGTGAGGGAGAAGGAAAAGGCAAAGGTGATGCTAAGGTTAGAAATCGGGGTAAGTGGGAAAGATGATGGTATGTTCAACAGAAAAGGAAAGTTGGGGGCGGTGTACATTTAGTGTATGAACATAATTAGTTCAGCTCTAATGGGAAAAAATAGACTATTGATTTGAAAATACATATGACTGTTATACCTCAGACAAGTCATTTAACCTCAGTTTCCTCAACCGTAAAATGAGGATAATAATAGCACCTACCCCACAGGGTTGTTGTGAGGATAAAATGAGATAATATTTATAAAGCATATAGCAGTAGTCACTATATAAATGCTAGCTGTCAGCATCATAGAAGAGTAAGTTTTGGTAATAGAGGAGTGTGGGACTTGGAGCCAGAAAATCTGTGTTTGGATCCTGCCTCTGACAGTTAATAGTTGTGTGACCTTAAGCAAGTCATTTAACTTCTTGGAGAATCAGTTTTCTTATCTGTAAAATGTGGATAATAATATTTGCCTTTAAAAACCCTCTGACATTGTAAAACATTCATTTATGCTTTTAAAAAAAAACGTGGGGCAGCTAGGTGGCACAGTGGATAGAGCTCTGGTCTTGGAGTCAGGAGGACCTGAGTTCAAATATGGCCTCAGACACTTGACACTTACTAACTGTGTTACCCTGGGCAAGTCACTTAACCCTGATTGCTCATCAAAAAAAGAAGAAAAAAAAAACCCTACAAAGTATAGACACAGAGGGACCTTTTTTAAATTATCAGAGTAAGTATTTAAAACCAAAAGTAAGCATATATAATGAGGGGATACATTAGAAGCTTTCTCAATAATTGCAGGCTACAAGATAAACTCTTAAAAATCAATAGCATTTCTATATAATTAAAAAAAATCCAAGAGGCAATAATAGAAAGAGAAATTCCTTTCCAAATAACTATATAGTGCTTAAAATATTTGGGGTCAGTCTACTAAAGCATACAGTCACAAAAAGTTCTCCTTAAAGAAATAAATAACAGTAGCTGGACTGAGTATTCAAATGATTGTAGCTGCGCCATGACAATATAATAAAAAATGACAATGTTACTAAAATTATTTTACAGTTTTAGTGCCATGCTAATCAGACTATAAAAGGGTACTTTACCGAACTTAATAAGGTAGTGAAATTTATTTGGAAAATCAAAATAATTAGAATATCAAGGGAGGTAGTGATATTGGGACAGAAAGGGAAATATTCCATTGTATATTACAAAACAACAGTCATCAAAACCATCTGAAATTAGTTTTTAAAAAGAGAGAGAAAGGGACAGCTAGGTGGCGCAGTGGATAGCCCTGGAGTCAGGAGGACCTGAGTTCAAATTTGGCCTCAGACACATAACACCCACTAGCTGTGTGACCCTGGGCAAGTCACTTAACCCCATTGCCTAGCCAAAAAAAAAAGAGAGAGAGAAAGAAGTAGATCAATGGAACAGACTAGACAGGGAGAATCAGAAACAATGTTACTCATTAACTCAGTATTTGGTAAACTGGAAAACAAATTACTTAGAGAAAAAAATCCCTATTTAATAGTAACTGTTGTAAAAACCATAAAGTAATCTGATAGAAATTACTTAGATCAACACTTTACGCTGTATTCTATAACATATTCTAAGTGGATATATAACCTTAATATTTAAAATAATACCATTAAAAACTAGAAGAGAAACAAATTATTGTACTTCCCATAGTCATGGGTAGATATATTCTTAAATAAGGGGTAGAGGCAGTTACAAAATATAAAATAGTTAATTTTGATTATATGAAACTGAAAAGCTTCCGTACAAGCAAAATTAATTCACCTAGGATAGAAAGGAAAGCCAATCAGTTGAGAAAAAAAATTTTTGTTTCAAGTTTTTTGTATAAAATTTGGTATTCAAGGTACATAAAAAATTCCAAACATGAACATATGAAAGAATGCTCTATATCACCAATAATAAATGCAAAACAAAACACTTCAAAGTTTCACCTCACACAATGCAAATTTGCGAAGATAATGTTATGAGAAGATAAGCCCACTGGTACATTGTTGATCAAGCTGTGAATCAATACAAGCATTTTGGAAAGCAGTTTGGAGTCAAACGAATGAAGTGACTAAAATATCCATACCCCGTGACCTAGAAATTCTACTAAATTTATACCCCTACGAGGACAATACCCCTTATACACCAAAATATTTATAGCAGCTTTTTTTTAAATAGAATTCAAAATAGATGTAGACAAAGTAGATGTCATTGACTGAATAGCTAAATAATGTGGTTCATGAATGTAATGGAATATTGCTGTGCCGTAAGAAATGATGATGGCTACAGAGAAGCTTGGAAAGATTTATATGATCTGATGCAGAGTAAACAAAAGAATAGACACAATGACTACAACAATGTAACTGGAAGGAACAACTATGAAACAACCGAAAGTGAATGATGTGAAACTATAGAGCATGGCAACGAAAAAGAGATTTGAGAAGACGTCCCTTTCACACTCCTTTGCAAAGGTTGGAGTTCCACAAGTGAACATGCTACACACATGTTCAGACTTTTTCAGTGTATTGATAACTTTTGCTGAAATCAGCATTTGTTATATAAGATAGCTGTCTTGGAGTCAGGGAATAGGAAAGATCCGGTGATAAATTTTGGTGATGTAACAAACAAAAAATTATCAATAAAAATTTGTTTTAAAATAATACCTACCTCAGTGAGATAACATATGTAAAATACATTGTAAAACAAATTATCGCTATTGAAATGTCAATTGTCATTACTAGAATGTATTTTTTTTCTTACCCAGTATAATTTATCTTAATCTAAATCAAATCAATGATTTTTAAATAAAACAAAGTTCTGTGGGGAAAAGGGGAGGTACAAGAGTTATTTCAGTAGGGTGCTTTGCCTTTATTAATTCATAACATTATTGCTGGCTAGTAGATTTCTAACATATAATTTCTTCCCTAACATTTTTTTTTAAATACACACCACACAGTTTGGTTTTGATAGCTACTTTAGAGGGAGAAAATAAAACTCCAGTTCCACAGTGATGCAAAGTGAAGAAAGCAGTTTAGCAGATGATTTGCTGTACATGAGATATTTGAATAGAAATAATGATACACAATCTGTAGGTATTAATTGAATAAATATAATTCAGAATGTGTGATTTACAATCAGGTGGCAGTTACCATAATGAAGATGGAAATATTCTGTTTCCTAGGAATAAGTCTTATATTTTTGACAGCAGACATGGTAAATAGGTTTAAGTGATGAAAAGAGATATAAATAGTCAGCTTGTGGCACACTGATGACCATTCTTTGAAAGATAATTCCTACATATAGCCATTCTTTATGTTTTCTCCAGCATGCAAATTAACAAGCTACAATTAACATCTAACATGTTTTTGCCTTTGTTACCTTAAAAGACAGATGTCATTTTCCTGAAGAATTATGTAAAAGGAAGATAAACAATGTAATGAGTCACTAAATAGATGTGAGGCATAAAACCATGTGTGTTCCTAGGATGTGTGCTATCTTACATAATCTCACAGAATCTATCATTAGTTTCATGAAATTTTGCTTTATACAAATTGCCTGCAGCTGTATTTAGGAATTTGAATTGCATTCATTTAATAAAGAATCAGGACTTCCCACAAAATACTGAACAAATGTTTGTATCTTTAGAGCTAACACCACAATAATGATTCCATGATCTATCTTTTAAAATAATATAAATATGAAGTCAGTTCAATGGAAGGGTTACAATCTTACAGGTAAATATTAAGTAACATGTTCTATTAAGTAGGAAATTAATCTTCATGTCTGTTATTTCATAGTTGTGTTTAATTTAGTTTTACATTTTTAAAGACCATACACCAAAGTAATTACTAGACTTGTATAAAAATCTTTAGAAAAATTCTTACAAGAAAGAAAATCTCTTTAAAATGTAGTTTTATGACCTTGAAAGACTTTGCAACTTCAATCAATGCAATGACAAAACAAGATTCCTGAGATGGAGTATGTAACCACTTCCTACCAGAAAGGTGATGGATTTAAAATGCAGAATGAGGCATATATTTTTAAATATGACCAATGTAGAAATTTCTTTTGCTTGACCATGCATATTTGTTATAAGGATTATTTTCTCTTATTTTTTCTTTATTGTTCAAATAGGGGGGATATACATACTTTGTAATCAGAAAAAATAATAAGTAAATTTTTAATGTAGTTTTAAATATGATGTTAGTACTCTTCAAGAAACAAAATATAGTGTATATTATACTTTAGATATGTAATTTAAATGGCAATTAAACTGAAAGCTTTCCAGTTTTGTTTCTTTAGGGGCATACTAATTAACAATTTGATCTCTACTAAAGTCTTATTGCTAAGGTTTTTGGATTATTTAAATTATCAAATTAGATACAGTACCTTCAAGTAGCTTATGAATCATTATACTCACCTGCCTTTTTTGTCTGAAATTTATTGCATTGGTGTGCTCTTATAAACATGGATGTTGAAAAAGGAAAGGATTATCTGATTGCAGTCACTCTTAACTTGAGAGAAAAAGGCACAAAGTAAAAAAAATTTCTGATTGATTCCCATTTTTCTCACAAATAAACGTCCTGCTCCTTTATTTCAGTGGTTTCAAATTAGACATGTAAGAGAGTAGTACAGTGCCATCCATGAAACTGTTCCTGTTTCCTTTCTTTCTCTAAATAGCAAAGTCATCCTAAGAATCCAAATGACAAGCACCGAAGCAAGAAATGTAAAGATCCTAAACCACGGGTTAAGAAGTTGAAGTACCATCAGTATATCCCACCTGATCAGAAAGGTGAGAAGAACGAGCCACCGATGGACTCCAACTATGCCCGTTTGCTACAGCAACAGCAGCTTTTCCTGCAGCTACAGATCCTGAGCCAACAGCAACAACACTACAACTACCAGACTATTCTACCTGCACCACTCAAGTATGGAAGGTTTTGTCAATATTTTCTTTGCCGGGTATATATATTCTTTAACTGAGAAATTATGCTATTAGAAACTTAGAGCTATACCTAAGACCCATAAGTAACTCTGATAACTTGAAGAGTCAACATTTGAGAGCTCAGACCCATCTAATTTTGTATTCTACAAAAGACTCTGAAATTAGTAGAAAGTAGAAGTAGCCGCTTATGATTCAACAGTTATTTGAATACCTACTATGTGCTCAGCACAGTTATAGGAGAGGCATAAAAATAGACACAACCTCTTCAAAGAAATTACAATTGAGACAAGACTATTAATATGAAACAATAGCAAATAATACAAGATAGTAAATAATTCAGTGATAAGTTTTATTGTATAGACTGAAAGTTCAGAAGAGAAAGAAATCAGTGAGGCAGGAATTCTCAAAGTATGGTTCAGGGACCCCTGAGGATCCCTGAGACCCTTTCAGAGGGTTTGTAAAGTTGAAACTATTTTCATAATAATACTAAGACATTCTCATTTCTAATACAGTAATATCATAGGTGTAACACATGAACAAAAGCTCTGGGAGTGGGAGGGGGGGGGTCACTTGATAAGAGTGGAAAGGGATCTTGGGACCAAAAAGGTTGAGAAACATAATAAGAGGAGAAAGAAGAGGTCATTTCAGGAAAGATGAACATGAGCAAGGCAAAGATGCTTGCAAAAATTATCAATCTTGTTTGCTTGTGAAAGGAGTATAACTAGAGTAAAAGGTTCATGTTAAGGAGTAGTAAGAAATGTGGATAGATATAATAGACATAATTCCACATAATAATGTGCAGAATCTTGAAAGGAAAATTTAGATATGCTGTCACAGGAGATGATCTTCTAACGTCCAGTGCTTCATCATGGAGTGAAGGAGACTGTAAGCTATAAAGCATAAGCTATACCAGTTCCTACAAAACTGAAAAGACTGTATTTTAACTGATGATCTGCCAGGCAAGTATGGAAACATTCATTCATTAGTTTGATCATAGAGTGATGAATTTTCCAGTTATGACTGTTCTTGAAAATCATGTGCCAGGTTATAGAGGGATTTTGATATGCATCAGTGGAAGCAGTATTGATGCTGGTAATGTTATATTTCCTTGAAATGGAAGAAAATAGGAAGTCACTGAAGAATTTTGAGCATGGGAGTGACTTCAAATTGTGTTTTATGGAAACGACTGAACTTGGAAGTTAGAAGATGTGGGTTCAAGTTCAGATTCTGTACCAGATAACTGTATAACTTTAAGCAAGTCACTTGACTGCTCTGAGCCTCAGTTTCTTCATCTGTAAAAATGAGGGCTTTGCACAAAACAATCTATTAAAAGTCCCCTTAAGCTCAAATATATATATATATATGGTTCTATTATCTATTAAAGGAAAATTAGTCCATTAGGATAAATAACGAGGCTCTTTACTTCTTTATTTTCTCTAGTTAGACCATTTCTATTTAAACTAGAAATGATAAGGAACTGGATTGTAGAAATAATAGTCATACTAGATAGGAAGAGACAGAGATATGTAACATTTCAAAGAAAAATCAAAAGAAATTGGCCAATGGTAGAATGGTCAATGACATGGAAATTTGGAGGGTTAAAAGACCATGAATTCAATTTTTGCAATCACCTCAAACCCAATTTATGTTAAGTTTGAGATGATTGCAAAACATCCTGAGAGAGGAAGGAATTTTATCTAAAGAACTTTTTAAAAAGTGTATCCCAATAAAAGGTTTTCTAGATTACATAGGAAGGGAGAGAAAAGATGCTTCAATCTGCACTCAAGTTCATCACCTTTTTTATCTGGAAGTGAATAACATATTTGTTTCATCATGAATCCTCGAGTTGTGATTAATCACAGTGTTAATCAGAGTTTCCAAGTCTTTTAAAGTTATATTTACCATATTGCTGTTATTATTATATAAATTGGTCTCCTGGTTCCACTCACTTCACTTTGAATCAATTAATAGAAGACTTTCTAGGTTTTTCTGAAACCATCTACTTCATCATATCTTACAGCACAATGGTATCCCCTCATCTTCACTATACCATAACTTGATTTGGACACCTCCCCTCAGTTTCCAATTCTTTGCCACCACTAAAAAAAAACAAAAACTGCTATTAATATTTTTGTACAAATATTTAGTCTTTTAACTATCTCTTTGAGGTATAGATTGAATAGTGGTATCACTGGGTCAGAGGGTGATAGCTTAATAGTTTTTTGGACATAGTACCAGATTGCTTTCCAGAATGGTTAAACAAGTTTAGAGTTTCCCTACTAGTACATTAAAGTGTCTGTCTTCCCTGAGCTTCTCCAGTATTTGTCATTTTCCTGTTTGGTCAACTTAGTCAATTGGATGGTTTGAGGTGGTACCTCAGAGTTGTCTTAATTTGTATTTCTGTAAGTATTAGTTATTTAGAGTTATTATAGTTATAAGTAATAGTTATATTTATTAGTTATTATAAATATTGGTTATTTTTCATATGGATATATTGATAGCTTACATTTCTTCCTGTAAACCTGCCTATTCATAACTTTTGACCATTTATCAATGGAGGAATAGCTCTTATTCTTATAAATTTGAATCAGTTACATACAGATATGTGTGTGTGTGTGTATACATATATGTGTGTGTATATATGTATATCTTAGAAATAAGACCTTCATCAGAGAAACTCACTGTGAAGATTTTCCCCCAATTTCCTGTCTTCTAATTTTAGCTGCATTGGTTTTGTTTGTGCAAAAATTTTAATTTTATGTAATCAGAATTGTACATTTTACCTCCTGTGAAACCTCTCTATCTCTTCTTGATCATGAACTCTTAACATGGTTAATACACAAAGGGTGATATCATAAGGGAATTAGAGGAACATGGAAAAAACACTCAGACAATTAGCAACTTCATTAAAGTTGCAGGATATAAAATAAACCCACAGAAATCATCAGCAGTTCTACATATTACCAGCAAAATGCAGTAGGAAGAGAAATTCCACTTAAAATCACTCCAGACAGGGGTGGAGCCAAAATGGTAGAGTGAAAGCAGTGACTTGCTTGAGCTCTCCCCCAAACCCCTCCAAATACCTGTAAAAAAATGACTCTAAACAAATTCTAAAGCAGCAGAACCCACAAAAAGACAGAGTGAAACAAATTTCCAGCCCAAGATAACCTGGATGGTTGATCAGAAAGGCATATTGCACCAGGCAGGGAGAGGAGCGCAGTTCAGTGTGGGCGCGCAGGCTGCAGTGAATCTGGAGCAGGCCTCAGAGGGCGGATTCACAATCAGCTATGGCGGTTTCCAGACTTCTCAACCATGAACTCCAAAGACAACTTGGAAGGTGAGTGGGAAAAGTCTGTGACTGCGGTGAGAGAGAGAAGCTAGGCCTCAGCCACAAGTCCCACGCACGGCACCAGGGTGGCGGCTGCCTCCTGAGCTTCTGGCCCACACACTCAGTGGGAATCGAGTGGCTGATCAGAGGGGGGTTGCAGGGATCTCTTTGCCAGTACTGAGGTAGGAATCTCTTGCTTTGCCCGTGCTTGGATCTGGGTCACAGTTCTGAGGGGCGGTCCTGGGGCGAGGAGGAGTGCCGGCATGGTGGAGCTTGTTGTGGCAGTGGAGAGGAAACACCTCGCCCCTTATCATACCACCTTAGAAGAACTGAAAATTTACAGATTCCTAGAAGTATCTCTGAAAACAGCTGTACAAACCCCCAAAGCTTGGGACAGTACATTCTCCATATTGGAAGCAGACTCTTACCTTAACAAAGAGTTTAAAACTCAAGTAATTGGCCAGGATCATGAGTAAGCAGCGCAAAAAGAGTCAGACTATATTATCTTACTTTGGTGACAAAGAAGATCAAAACATACAACCAGAAGAAGACAACAAAGTCAAAGCTCCTACATCCAGAGTCTCTAAGAAGAATATGAATCAGTCCCAGGCCTTGGAAGAGCTCAAAAGGAATTTTGAGAAGCAAATAAGAGAAGTAGAGGAAAAACTGGGAAGAGAAATGAAAGTGATGCAAGAAAATCATGAAAAACAAGTTAACAGCTTGCTAAAGGAGACCCAAAAAAATACTGAAGAAAATAACACCTTAAAAAATAGCCTAACCCAAATGGCAAAAGAGGTCCAAAAAGCCAATGAGGGGAAGAATGCCCTGAAAAGCAAAATTGGACAAATGGAAAAGGAAGTCCAAAAGCTTACTGAAGAAAATACTTCCTTAAAAATTAGAGCAATTGGAAGCTAGTGACTTTATGAGAAATCAAGACACTGTAAAACAAATCCAAAAGAATGAAAAATTAGAAAACAATGTGAAATATCTCATTGGAAAAACAACTGACCTAGAAAATAGATCCAGGAGAGAAAATTTAAAAATTATTGGACTATCTGAAAGCCATGATCAAAAAAAGAGCCTAGACATCATCTTTCAAGAAATTCTCAAGGAAAACTGCCCAGATATTTTAGAAGCAGAGGGCAAAATAGAAATTGAAAGAATCTACCGATTTCCTCCTGAAAGAGATCCCCAAAGGAAAACTTCTAGGAATGTTGTAGCCAAATTCCAGAGTTCCCAGGACAAGGAGAAAATATCGCAAGCAGCCAGAAAGAAACAATTTAAGTATTGTAGAAACACAATCAGGATAACACAAGATTTAGTGGCTTCTACATTAAGGGTTCAGAGGGCATGGAGTATGCTATTCCGGAGGGCAAAGGAATTAGGACTACAACCTAGAATCACCTATCCAGCAAAACTGAATATAATCCTTAATGAAAAGACCAGAGCTGACTAGAAAATACGGCTTTCAAATACAAGACTCAAGTGAAATATGAAGAGGTAAACAGGAAAGAGAAATCATAAGAGACTTATTAAGTTTGAACTGTTTACATTCCTGCATGGAAAGATGATATTTGTAGCTCATGAGACCTTTGTCAGTATTAGGGTAGTTGGAGGGAAAAAAATTATATGTATGTGTATAGATAGAGAGATAG